TTAATATATAATATACAAATATTTCTGTTTATTTATATTTTAAATACTTTCAATTTTTCTTACTTCTTGCAGATTGAAAAATATATAATCAACAGCAAACGAAGAAAGCTAAATTAAAATTAAAAAAAAAAAAACATTACCAAAGAGAAAAACAAACAAAAGAAAGACATTCAAAAAGCAAAAAAAAAAGTATATATACGAATATCTGGACGCAACTCAAGCAAAAATAAATACAAGAAAATAAAAAAAAAAACAAAAAACGAATATTTGCATGTTAAAAACATTCGCATACAAACACACACACACTTACATAAACACATAAAAAGAAAAACACAAATGAACAATTATTAAATTAATTATTTAAAAAAAAAAATACTAAAAGAGCATTGCTACAAGTAAAAGCTAGTCCAAATCTACAGTAAAAAAGAAAAAATTATATTTAATTGAAGATAAAAAAAACAAAAATAAAAAATCAACACGCCAATTGCCGCAAATTTACTCCAAACTAAAAACAAAAAATAATTTACGAAAATTCCCAAAAAGTCAAAATAAAAAGAAAATCTACGTAATTTAATTTAAAGAAAAAAAATTAAACACAGCTTCAACGTGTGCACAATAAATAAAAAGGAAAAAACTAAACTAAATAACGTAAAATACAAATATTTAATTTCAAATATTAAAAAAAAAAAAAAAACTACACACCTACACAAACTAAATTCCAATTAAGCAAAAATTTGCAGAGACAAGAGAGAGAGAGAAAAATATAAATAAATAAAAACAAAACCAAAATCAAGTGAAGAACTCATTAAAAAAAGCGCCCAAGTCACGGCCAGCAAACAAAAAGTGCAACAACAAACAAAACAACAACCAACAAGCAGCGTGTGAAGTGAAGCAGCAAACGCTGCCACGCCCTCGTTAGCCGCCCGCCCATTTGGCAAAGCAGTCAAGACTGAGCATCGGCCGTTTTACCGGACAGCAAAATTTCCAAGAAATTTGACGTGCCCGTAACGCCGCGCAAGACAGAGAGAGACAGAGACAGCTAAAAACACGCACGTATTCTGATTGTGAGTGTGTGTGTGTGTTACAGAAAGAAAGAGAGTGATAGAGAGAGAGAGAGAGAGAGAGAGAGAGAGGTAGAGAGCGAGAGAGAGAGACAACAAGTACGGCAGAGTTTAAAAAACTCGGCAAGCGCTAAGCGATACGATTTTTTTTTCAAGTGTACGTCTAGGAATTTTTTTTGTGTGCCCGTGAGTCTGTGAGAGCAACAGCAACAACTGTGATGGGAGATCGGCCAAAAGCGACAGCAACAACAACTACAACTAATACTACAACAACAACAACTAGCGCAGCAGCCGCCGCAATGGCAGCAACCGCTCCGGAAGACCCAGCCCAAGCCAACGGGACTGGCCAGGGCAGCGGCAACGGCAACGGCAATGGCAACGGTAACGGGAATGGCAATGGCCATGGGAATGGCAACGGCACTGGAGGCAACGGGACGCCCCAGGAGCCCGGCCAGGCCCAGGTGTCGACGGTCAAGCTGCCAACGCCCAGCCATGTGGACGGGGATGCGGATGGCGGAGCAGCAGCTGGTCCCAGCGCTGCTGCTGGCGAGGCTGTCGACGATGCGGCCACTGATGCGGGCGCCAGCTCATTGCCGCCGTCGGAAATTGGCGGTCGTCCGCCGTTGGACACCGCCTGCTCGGATGGCGGTGGCGCCTCGAGTCTGGCCGGCGGCATCGTTGGGCCGCCCAGCCCGCTAACCGGCTGCTATTTGCTGATTGTGATGGGCGAGCCGCACTCCGAGGAGCACAAGGACAACATCTTGCAGCATTTGCTCAAGGGTAAGTGCCAACACCCCATTCGAAACTACATCCAAGCCATCGACCTGATGCTGATGATACTGCTCCACGTCGAGCTCATCAGCATAAATTATTCGCATTGCTCGCATAGAAAGTTTGCATATGCAAATGAGTCAGCCAGCCGAGTGGCTGGCGTTACGGCTGAGCAAATGGCGTCGCGTGCCAGTCCATTCCATTCCAATCCAAGCCAATTCAATCCAATCCAATTCAATCCAATCCATGTTCAAATACCAATTGCAATCCAATTCGAATCCAATGCCGGCCACTCCACCCACTGTGAGTTGCCCATTTTCACACTTTGCTGGCTGCCGACACGCCGTCTAATTAGCTGCCCACTGTGTCTGCCCCAGCCCCTGCACCCGCTCCCCTGCTCGATGCTACATGCCCCATGCCCCATGCCGCAGCGACGACTGCTCGGCTGGAGAAGCCACTGATCAGTTTTCATAGTCAATGGGCAGGCCGTGGTTTAGCTTTAGTCTTTACTTTGCGCCTTCTCTTTCTTCTTGCTGCTTTTTTTTTTCTCATTCTTACTTAGTTTTATTTATTATTCATTTTTCATTTACCGCTGATTCTAAGCCAGCCGTTTTCTTGCTCATTTTCACTTGCCGTCGACGACTGACACAGTTTTCCGCCTTGCACATAATTATCTTGAGTGCTGTCGATGCAAAGTGGGCGTGGCGGGGCGCTGGTGGGGCGTGCCACTGATTGCCACTAAAATGCGGCACAAGAAAATATTAAAAACATTTTTTTAATACACTTCGCACTCTACAGAACCGCCCGAGTGAATTCTAAGTAAAGATATTTTGCTTTTGTTGTTGTTGAGATCTGTATTAAATATTAGAGATGTTTTGCTATTTATAAGATTTAAAGTGATTTTATAGTATATAGAATTGCAGTAAGCAGAGATATTGAGTCCAATTTAAATTGGACTTGACTCTCCAATTGCAGCTAGAATAACTGATAAAGTAACTCTAGTTTTCATACCCTGAAAATGTGAAATCGTGGTATATTGGTTTTGTTAATATTATTAAATGTCTGTACTAGAGAGAAGGAGGCGTGGCTTACCCCATAAAGTATATATATTCTTGATTTGGACGACGACGAGCTGAGGCGATTTAGCCATCTGTCTGACTATCTGTCTGACGGATCAAGCGCGTCGATCTCAGTAGATATAAGAGCTAGAAACTTGATTTTTTTTTTGTGAGCTCGTATATTGCACGCGCAGATCGAGCTGATTTCCGAAAATCGCCTTTTTGTTATCGGTAAGCAAAGAATTACTGAAATATCGGTTCCTCGAAGGCAAGCAGTTTCGCTAGAGCTTTCTTACTTGTTTGTGCAATAATTTGTATTACTTTTTTAAATTATTTAAATACATATTTTGTTAAATTAATATTTATTTACGTTGTTGGAAGTAAAACCTCAAGTCAATTCATGTCAAAGGTGCCAAAGTTGTTCAAGACAGCAGCAGAAAACTGAGCTCTTCTAGCTGGGAAGTGCCGAACTAAAATACGCTACCAGCTGGAAAGCTATACTGGAAATTAAATGAGAAATTATTGTAGAACATTAAACTTTCCAATTGGGCCCAAAAAATAGAATAAACTAGGCTCTTATTGGACGCATAGCAAAGATTAACTGGATCTCTGATTAGATGCCTGGTTAGCTCTTGACAAAATACCGCATTGAAGGCAATTTCCTCATGCAAAAAATAAATATATCTGTAGTATAAATTATAATGATGTATAAATATATATAACATTTTATACAAAAAGTATTTTGTTTCTCAAATCGAAAATTAAGCTGAAAAGCTTAAAATAGAATCATCAACAAGATTTTAATTGTCAGCTTCTGTTTCTGAGATGCTTCGCGTTCAGTTACAAAGGAGACTATAAAATAAGCTGCTGTCTCTTCCATTTCCACCTCGTCTTCATCTACTTCTTCYTCTTCTGCCCTCTACAGCTCTTGGCAATTCGTTTGAAGTTTGAGCCACTAAATGGAATTAGCTGTTGCATCAGTTCAAGAGCTTGAATTAGAGGATTTTAACTAGCTCAAATTTGGGCTATTTATTTTAATAATAAAATATGATTATCTATATGTAAATGTAATGGATTTATCTGGGAACTCTCTGCAGTGCATTGCTCTCTAATCTCTAATCATATCAATTAGCTGATGCAATTGTATTAAAATGAAAATTAACACGTGATTAGTTGACAGCGAAACGCTAAAATTGATGCTCATATTAAATACTACGACAATGACCTATCACGCCCACGTCTAATGGGTGAGGGGGCGGGGGGGGGGGGGGGGGGGGGGGGGGGTGACTAGCATGTGGTTGGAGTGTTATACGAGCTGTGAATAGGAATTTCTGCGCTGCTGGGCGCAAGTTAATCGCATTGTCTCGCAGCACAATTGGCAGATAAGCAAGCTGGCAAGTGGGCGTGGCTGGCCGCCGTCGCGCCGCAGAACTCAATTTAAATGTCGCTGGTAATTCGATTTAAGCGAATTGCGCCTCGGAGTATGCAGCAGCAATCGTTGCAATTTAATTAAAAATTACAAGAAATATAAAAGGGAAATGAGCAAAAGCACACAGAGTGTGTGTGTGTGTGTGTGACAGAGAGAGAGAGAGAGAGAGAGAGAGAGAGAGTGAGAAGAGGTGCAAGTGCTTTTGTATTAATTATTTTCATGTAATGCAATCAACATTGCAATAACAACAAGAAAAGTGCAAAGATCAACAAATGCAGCCGGATATGACTATGTGTGCGTGTGTGCCTATATATATGTGTATGTGTGTGTGCTTGTCGGGTTATTAGCAAATATTTGATTTATGCAGACAACAAGAGACTGTGACAAAGCCCAAAGCCCAACAGATGAGCGCAGACATTGACATTGGCTGTGTGTGGCAGCTGGGTCTGGGCGGCTGGGCTGGGTGGGTGGCTGGCTTGGGCGTGGCACCGTGGCACTGGCTGAGCCACAGGCAGCTATTGCGGCAAGTGGCAAGTGGCATAATTGCTCAACAAGCGACGCCGTCTGACGCGCCCAAAAAGCGCCGGAAATTACGAAAGTTGAACGTCCACAACGAGAAATTAGTCGTGGGCTACTCTAAGTGGGTGGCGGTGGCTCAGCTGCTGGGTTAGCTGGGTGGGGTTGGGTGGCTCAGTGGACACATCTCGGGACACCGTTTTGTCCATTTTTATTTTGTGTGTTAGTTTCGAAAAGAGGTGAACAAAAATATTGTAATGTTTGTCCAGGGCAAATTGCGACAAGAGATGGGAGTGGGCGGGGCTGTGCAGGGTGGGCGTGCGGGTAGTGCCACTGCGCGTGGAGGCAGTTTTTAATTGATTTTGTGACACGGTCGAACAGCGTYGCGTGGGGCACAGGTTGAGCAAACAGAAATGCAAATGTAATGGGGAAAAGGGCTAATGGGAAAAACGGGCCTAAAGAGCTCCGCCAACAAAAAGCAACGGTGGGTTGGATATGTACATGTATGTTGGATATGTATATGTATAAAGATACATATATAGAACAAATAAATGCAAACGTTGGGCCCAAGCCATTTAGGTTATGTATTTTGCAGAAAAATAATGCTTTTTCGGTGCGTGCTGCGGTTTGGCTGGGCTTAGGATTTGCTTAATCAGATGAAAAGAATGAACAAAAGTTAAAGCCGATAATTGGATTAGGTTGATTGTTAGACTGAAATAATGATAACATACCTATGCAGATATAGGTTTTATCCAAATACCTCTCTAACTTGAATGAAAGTATTGAAATAAGTCAAATATGAAATATAATTAGTTTTATATTATTAATTTTGTTCTATATGTGATTAGATATTGACAGTAAGCAGGACAGCCTTTAGGCAATTAATTAATTAAATATTTAATTAATTTGACTCATTAAACAGAAATAAATTAAACTAAAATACTAAAAAATTTAGTTAATTTGACTTATTAAACAGAAATAAATTTAACCGATTTTTTGAGTCTAGCTCAGAGAAAGACAGAGATCTTAAGAGCGCAAATCTCATAGCTAAAGTTGAAGAGAATATTTGATAGTTTCTAAGTCAAGACTCTGTTGAGTAACTTTTGAGTGTGCCTGCCTCTATGACTCAATTAGAATATATAAACGTAACATTGAAGATATGTGAAGTATGACAAGAATTGAAGAATAGAACATTGTGTCAGTTCAATTCAATAAAATTATTAATATAATGATTTTATGTCCAATTGACTTACTTTTCGATTTTATTTTATTTTGATTTTATTATTATTTTATTTTCTGTTGGCTTTTAGTTTATTGTGTTTTTATTTTTTACTAT